TGCAAACGTAATGGCCCCTTTAAAGGGGGCGGCGCCGGGAGACGACATCTTCAAGACGTACACAACGCAGAGAGAGGGAGTGAGAAGCTAGTGATACTTCAAACTCAAGAAAGGAGAAAGAAAAGGAATGCGAAAATTTTTGACGAAACCAAAAGCCGATCAGAAAGCCAAACAAAATCCTAAAATTCCTAAAAATCCTTCTCGAGGGTGAGAAAAATCAAAAGTCTGCTGCTTTCTTTCAGAAAAAATTAAATAGGTTCTTACGTAATATCGGGGGCGGGGGGGGCGGGAAACTTTTTCCTAAAAGTCCAGATGTAATAGTAAGTGTTTTACTAGTGTTTTTAGCAAAATGGAACTATATTTTAAGCGGAAACAATAAACTGAACGATAATAAACTATATTTTTTTCGTTGCCAATTAGGTCGGAAATCGACCATTTTTGCAAGAGAAATCTATATTTTTCGCACGTTTTTAATCAAAATCTAAAAGTTTTTACGTTTAGGAATGGTAAAAAAATAATTTAGAACACTTCCGATATCTATATTTGAAAAATTGGCTCCGAAAACGCCCCCCTCCCCGACAATGCGCAAGAAGCAAAAAAAAAGAATTATATATCGAGCTGGAGGCAAAGAAGATATCTATACCTAGAAAAATAAGTTGAAACAATCCTAATAAAAATAAACCCCAGGAAAAGAAGATCTCCCTACCTAGAAAAAATACTTTGAAACAACCCTATGAATAAGCCCCAAAACGAAAAGCCAAAAGCCCGATGTCGGACATGCTGTTCAAGCGAGGAGTGTGGTGTCGTGGTGGTGTGTGTAACAGGCGCGCGTTGCAAGCGGATGCGGCTTGACGGAAACACGGCACCCCCACAGGGCAAATCCCCCAGTCTGCACCCGGGGAAGTGACATGAAAAATTGGCGACAATCAGCCGCACCCGGCCGTAATCCATCTAGATCGGCTGCTAAATTGTGACGCGTTGACGGGGAGGAATGGCCGGAAATAGATAAGTTGAGACAACGAAGTAGGCATGGATTGAGCTTCACATGATTTCTTAGCAAGTCCGAGAAATAGGTGAAGCGTTGAACAAGCGGAATGCGGATACCAGTACACGCAAGCCAATGTTCGGCGTTACAAGCTTCTTATGAATTTTAGCTTATTCGAGTCTACCAAAGTCTAGAAAAGTAAAGAAAAGAAGTGTTCCCTTCTAGTAGTCAAAAGAAATTCATTTTTACAAGATTCGTTAACAAAAATCAGCTTATATAACGGATACCACTCTTTTCTAACACTAATAGAGACAAAACAAAAACGCGTTGTTGCCAGAAAGGTCGTAATAAGTAGAGAAACCAAAGTAAGCATAGGTTAAACTTTAAAGCAGCTTCTTGGACAAGTTTAGTAAGATTCTACCTAGTTCTAGAGAGGTAAGTGGATGTCTGAGGATGCGTTGTAGCAATAAGAACATATTCATTTTACAAGCCTACTGAACGACGCCGTTTTTAAGCATTTACAGACAAATTTTGGATATAGGAAGAACCTGTCCAAGACTAGACCCAGATAAACTTGACAAAATTCGGTACCTGCCCTAAACCAGCCCTCATCGCCCGTCTCTCGTCCAAGCAGGGCAGGCTAGCAGCGATCGTTGGCCATCTTCTGTCGAGCCGTTTCGCTTCAGAAGCCTAAAGAATCGTCAGTTTCTTCAATGTCCCTCCCCTTCTCTTCAAACACTCTTTGGCACATTTCTGCCTGCATGTCCGTATTTTCAACGCATTTCAAAAACACCCAAGTGACTCGCGTTCTTTATTAAAAAAAGGAATTCGTAATAACCGGGGGAGCGAAAAGAATATGGATACGCCGTGGAGGGCACAGAGAGTGTGTGTGTATTTCGGGGCGCCAATAAGAAGAGGAGAAAAGAGTGACGAGTTCTCGAGCGCTAAAAACCGCCTGGATTGGGGCATATAAACGAGCGATAAATAAGGAGATGATATAGAGGATAGCGGCTGACCGGGGCGGGCGGGCTGGCTGGGGAAGCAGCAAATATAATGTTGGAGGGGCGCGGCACACAACACCGCGGAGTACATGTCGAATGCATACGGATCAACGGGGAGGAGGAGACGCGATGTCGATGCGGGCGCTGATCTCGGCGTGGAACGTTTTTCGGGACCGTGAATTTCTCGGCAGGTTTCTCTTTTTTTGCAGAGTTTAGATGTGCAAAATCCGTAATCTTCTTTTTCCGCAATTTGTAGCCGCTCAAAATTCGTGGTCCCGTTTTCTGCAGCTTCGACCTCACACCCGCACCGCTGCGCAATTGGAAAACGTGCCTATAAAAGACCAATGTGGGTGGGGAGAGTTTTTGAGGTCTTTGGAAATTACTAGAGTTGTCAAGTATCTAAATCCGATACCGGGATAACATTAATTAGGGATGAAAGTGAAAGGTCAAGAAAATTCTATGTGAAAGGAACTATTTTTCATGACTTTTTGCGCGGTGTCCTAACCAGAATGTTATCCCGATATCGAATTTCATGCGTAACACCTCTAAAAAGACCCGATGACGTGCAGCCAGCCTCTAGAAAATAAATTTCGTTGAAATTCCCCAAAATTGACTCGTTTCCGGTCTGCACGCCATCCCCCACCACACATCGGCCCGTCTACACCAACGCGAGGGCATAAGTTAACTTGTGGAGCACAAATTTCGCATAGAACCTAAACTCAACAGAACACACGCACATGCGCCAAATCTTCGTAATATCGGCCGGCGACCGGGGCGGGGCGGGGGAGGACAATAGCAGATGGTAGATGAGGAGCGGAGGACACAACACGTTTTCAGTATCGTAATGGATGCGTGGGCGGGCGTGGGGCGGGGCTGATCAACTACTGGCCAAGGAGGGTGGGAAGCGGGCGTTCGTCTCAGAGTCGAAGAATTCCGGAAAACGATTTTTTAATTTGACTCTGGTCAAAGCAGCCCCGTCAAGCGGAAAGCGTCATTAGTAAATCACACACACCGATATTTATGGACCCAGTTGGATGTTTGAAAAGTCGAGGAGATGGGGGAGGGCAGGATGGCCGAGTTGTGCGACACAAACGGGCGGGCGGAAATGACACGACATTGAGGCCGTTTCCGACGGATTCCGTGTATTTTCCTAATTTTTTTGTGGAAATCAGGTTGATCTGGCAATTCTAACGTAGCCCGAAGCTCTAAAAAGTTTCAAAAAGCCTAGAGTAACGAATTTTTTAAAGACGGAAACAGATAGCAAAAATTTTTACGAAAAAGCGCAGCCTCTTCGTTTAATCGGCAATCATTTCGCTAGGCTTTTCGGAAGCTAGCTGGCTGCGGAAGCACGTCAAAAACCTGATTTTCAACAAAAAAATAGTAAAATTGAAAGGAATTCACCGGAAACGGCACACGTTCGTCCCGTGCATATGCTCTCTCTCTCCCCGTGTTTCCGGTTAACTTAACGTTTATAGAGAGAACGCGCATATACAAACAACGAATTATAGGGGTTGATGTGTGAGCGACGAGCCGCTGCTAGCACGCAGCCTTCTTCGAATGATCTAACACAACTATGGACTTACAATTTGGGGGACGGTGGTGAACAACGGGTGGGTGATGGGGGTGCCGAGTGCTGATATTTGGATAGAGGGCGGGAGAGGGAGACAAATCTTTCAGTAATAAATCTTCCAAGATTTCCGAGACGAACACCCGCTCAGGACCAAGGGCAAATAGCGACCGCCTATAACGGGGAGGAGGGAGAGGATGAGGGGACCCTGGGGTGTCGGCGAGAGAAGAAAGAGAGACAGGAGACGAAAAGCCTCGGGGCAAACGAATTGTGGGAGCACGAAAAGAGAACGAGATATAGAATAGGGAAACCGGGCGTGGAGGGGGGATGTGCGGAAGAGGGGGGGCATCTTCAGACATCCGAGAAGATGTACAAGTTGTTGGTGGCGGCCAGGGCGACGATGTTCTCTTGCGGGTGCCACGTGGCGTGCAGAATCTTGCGCGTGTAGTCGAGGCCCTCCGGGGACAGCTCCTCGTCGTCGGTGTTGGCCAGGCCTGAAAAAATGGAATGAATTCGAGTAAAAGAATCAATCGTACACGCTGGCGAGAAAACTCAAGAATCACTCATTCTTTAGTATAATTTTCTGTTTCTAGCTGTTAAATATCTGAAATTCGTTTAATACCGCTTAACCTGAGAAAACAGTGTGCAAAGTCTGAAAACAAAATCGAAAAGAGTAAATTATAAGACTGGAAACGGCCTTCTGGGAAACCTACAGATCAGATTAATAACCAAATTCCATCGAAATTACCAATAGAAGGGTAAGAGATCCCCAGTTTATTTAGATCATTTCGATCTTAAAGTTTTTCATTTACAAAATTTTAGCAGTTTCCATTTTCTTCAAGCTTTCCACACTGTTTTGTCATGTCAAAGTAGCTAGACAACCAATCTCCAATCGAATAAACGGCTAGAGAAGATGCCCAAAAAACGAGTGATTCCAAAGTTTTCTTCCCCGGGTGTAGAATCGAAAAAAGGGAATGAAAGTGATGAACTGAGCAGCCAAAGCGCAACGAAAGAGCCTTGAGACGCGTTTTGGTAAAAGGCAAAAATTCAGCTGATCACTTCACTTTCCTTCAACCCTAACCCCCGAAAAACCATAAAGAATTTCACGCTCGCCCTTGCCAGAGATGCGCAACCCAGAAAAAGCAGCCAGAGCCACCAAAAAAGAAAGAGCTTTTTTAATCCCAAGACGGCGAGATGCAGCACAACACGACGTTTCTCCCCTACCAATCCGCTTCTTCCGCGTCGACCCACTCGTAGGGATCCGTCGATTCCGGAGCGGCGTGTGCGGGTCTCCCGGTCTCGCCTCCCACATCTTGGCCTCGCCGCCGTCGCGGGAGAACGTCCGGAACAGGTTGTGGTACGACCCGGTGATTACGTGCCTAAAAAGAAGGTTTTTGGAGGGGCATTGACGATAAAAAATAGGGGAAAAGATTGAGCAATAAACTCACTTGTCGTCTCCACTCCAGCCGCACTCGAACTTGTCGAAGATGGAGTCGTTTTCGTAGAGTTGGCAGAGTTTGGAGCGAAGATGTTCGTGCACCGGGTAGGTCTCCACCGGGCTCGATTCCATGTGCAGATCCCAGACCTAAACCGAGGAATAAAGGGAGAAAAGCATCATATAATTCAAATCGGTCTTTGTCCAAGCTAGAAAATCAAATATAAAACACGCTAAAACGCTCGCCACGACGAGAAAAAGAAAACCTAATAAAATCTACGATTTACGGCCCATATTGAAAAGCCTAGAAAATTTTTCCAAAATAAAACTCGCCTTGACGGTCAAGTAGTCCCTCGTGAGCAGATACCGCCCATCGTGGCTGAACTTGACGTCGGACACGCTCGCTATGATCTCCGAGAAGAAGGAGCGCGCTTGCGGGTCCTCAGCCTCTTCGAATACTGCAAAAAACAAGCTTCATCTCCACAAGCATCGACTTACACTTTGCATGTTGATCACAGAGGGCCTTGTCGCGCATGTCGCACAACCGAATGGAACCCTTTGACGATGAGTAGACAAATCTGAAAAAAAACGATACAAGAAACGCGACCAAAAATTACTCATTGCACTTCGTCGGGTGGAATTCGGCGGCGGTGATCACCTCGGTCAGCTCCTCCATGTTGGCCGGCTTGATGTCGACAATGTCTGAAAAATGGATGTTTCTTTACAAACCAAGGGGTTCAGACAACGAAAAATATCTAATTCAAAACGGGAACCGTCGTTATCTACAAAATCAACGAAATTTGATTAGCTAGATTGGATCAGGCGGATTTTGTCGAAAGTTCTCATCTCGAAATTCAAATGCAAACAATATAGAGAGAGATATAGATTTCCAAATAGATTTCCAAATCGTGAATTTTTGAATTGCCAAATTTTCGTATACGAAACTTTCGAGAGATACACAATCATTCAAAACGTACTGAATGATTCATTCGTGATCTCCAGGTGCCAAAGGTTGACGCGCAGATCGTCGGCCGACAAGAAGGTTTCCTAAAGCAAAAAATTAGATAAAAACAACGAATCCCTCACCTCATCAGAATTCACCGATATGCTGTTGATGTGGTAGGTGTGCGCGTTTCCATACACTCGGCGTGGACTCGCCTCAACGATCAGCTCCATCGGCACGATCTGGGGTATCTTGAGGGTACCGCCGAATTGGCTCGGGTTGGGGCCCCTGAAAATTAAAAAAGTAAAATTCCAGCGCGAAATGATACCTGGGGGGAGAGGAAGACGTTACAAACCGTCGCGGCACGTTCCACGACTCTTCTGACAACTTCTTCGCGCTCCGAGATTTTCCATAGCTTGACGGTCTTATCTAAACAAAAAATATAAGAATTTGTGGAAATTCCCAACCATTCGTCGACAGGATGAAGTTTGCTGCATTCTTCTTCTTTAGCCATTTAATCTAAAGCAAAAATAGAGCTAGGGGAGAAAATCCAAACCTGGTTAATCTTTCTTCAATCTCCAACGATTTCAGGTAGTCAAACTCTGGCTCAAAGTGCGATTGGAATGTGGAGTAGACGTTGTATTCTCGTGAGCGACGGCCGTTCACATATTTCCCCTGAAAAAAGTACATAAAAACGTCAAAATAATTTAATATTCGAAATTCCGGTGCTTCCCGTTAATCGTGGGGCCAAGGATCAAAAATAGGCCATTTTATAGCATTTAATGCCCCTTCTAGGTAAAAACATCATGAAAATTTAACAAATTTTCTGTTTTTGGTCGAAATTGACGAGAAATGGCGCAATGTACAAAAACGACTAATAAAAATTATCTAGCCATCTTTTTTAGTCTTTCGAAACAGCTAAAATACTACGAACATGCATGAAATAAACCAAAAACAACGAGAACGGGAAGCACCGAATTAACCCCGGCGACGCAAATTCACGCACACTTTGATCCCGTTGAAAGATGACGACTCGCCCGCCCTGTCTCCGGTGGCCAGGTACTCGCCGTCATGCGAAAATTCGACACAGGATATGACGTCGGCTGGAAAAAGAGATCAGTATGGCTGGAGGCTGTAGAAACCTTTAAAACCTTCAGTATGCGCATCGTCGCCGTCGACGTTGCCCTTGACTTGGGAGAATTTCCATTGTACGGTCGAGTCGTTCATCGGCTCCGACGTGTCCATCGATGTTCCCGCATCGCCATCTACCTCCATGGTCATAACCCGTGCGCCGTCGATTCGAAGTTGTGGATACTAAAAGAAAGGAGATTAAAAGCTGGTTAGCTTCCGAAAACCGAAATATAGTGGTTGCCGGAAAGCTGGAAAGAACGCGCTATAGCATATAAAAGACGGAAACGTTTTTCCTAAATGATGCATGTAACAAAAAGACCATAAAATTTTACAAATGGGACTATTTTTACTTATCGAATTATCCAGATTATCTGAAAGCTATCACACTAGTGAAGACCGAGTTATGGGTCGTTTTGGCGAAGTTTCCCACGAATTTTTCTGCAAACCACGCTAAATCAACGAAATGCGAAGAAAATGCTCATAAAAGGGCCGACGCCAACTTATTAATGTTGTTTTCTTTTTGACGCGCTGACCTCCAAATGTGCGAACGCGAGCGAAATTATCCCAGCTGCTCAGTCATATACGAAAATCATTAATAGCGAATCCCCGGCAATAAAATTGTGCTGAAACGGTTCGCTAATCTGACCGGGACAGCGGTTTTTCGCTGCCGGTCAGCCCATCGATCGAAATATGGTTGGGCAATGGTAAACAAGCCCGCAAAAGGGACGGCCGGGGGCACGAGTAACGGCAACCCGATGGAGTCATCAAACCTACAAAAAAAAATCACCTTTCAGCAAAATACGTCAAATAGACGGGTGGTGGCAGACTGGCGCTCCTTGTACCGCGTCTTCCAAATCGATGGGCTTGATGAGGCTATCTGAAAATGGTCGGTGTCCTGGGGAGACGCGAGATAGAAATAGGAGAAAATTGTGAGAACATGGAAACGGAAATTTGTAGTGGAAATGAGGGCCAAGGCGAGGGGGGGGGGGGCTCCCGAAAAAGCGCGGAGACGCGCCATCGCTGCTGTCCTGGCAACAAGGGGGAATAATCCGATTCCAGGATCATCCCCCTACCCACAAGGTCTTGGTGGGTTTGCGCTTTGGGAAAGGGGCATAGGGATGTGAATTGCAAAAGAATCGGGAAATCTAAAGACACTCCTTTCCGCCTAAATCAGTGAATTACGACTTCAAAAAGAGGCTTAGCATCCAATCCAATTGCCGTTTTTTTTGAAATGCTAAACAAATGAAAGAAAAAAGCGCCAGTAATAGCCTGCAAGTTACGACTCTTTGCGGCCCAAATCAGTCAATCACGGATTTGAAAAGAAGCCCAAAACAATAAAATGAGAGCGTGTCCGGAAATCTCAGAGAGTTTGTAAACTAGCAAATTCGGGGAGTAATAACGTCTTGTTGGTGACGACAAGTGCGGAGTGGAACAGCTCAACGTGGCACTCATCGACACCCGGCGGGTGCCCCAAGGAAGACGCAGCTGGTCGAGAGGCGAAGCTTCGGCCCGAGCAAACAGAACAACGCCGTCTTTACCGAATAGCCATCACCGGGATATCGATGCGAGATAAGCGCGGCGTGGTGCATGTTGCCGAGGCACAGAGAAGGATGATTAGGAATTCAAAAACGCTGCCGAAAATTTAAACAACAGATTCTCTAGCTCAAATTATCGGATTACAAAACCTGGCGACTGATTAGATATCGAAATCACTCCCTCGAACTAAAATACAAATCTTGCCCCCCTAAACAAATGCCCTAGCCCAAAACCTCAAAGCTACATTCACTAGGTCGCCTAGAAAAAGCAAAACGCCTCAATCACCCCCCTTTCCTCCAGAAACATTGTTGCAACGCTGGGAATCGCCTGAATGCGGCCCCGCGATTGGCGTGCGCGGCTGCGTTAATAATTTGCGGGCCACGAAATTAGAGCCTATGACGCCAATATCTTGGGGCGAGACGGGAGGCCGGAAAAAGGCCGAATCCCCAAAATAGAGGCTAATCCGCGGGGTCCTACGATTTGCCATGAAAGAGGCGACGCTTTTTCGACGTTCGGGCAGAATTGGTGACGCGGCAAAATAGTTGAAAAGTTGATGATGCCGTTCACCTAGAGAGCGTCCTAAATCCGAATCCTAAAGCGGAAATGGCGCGTCAAGGACGTTTTGTAAAGTAATATCGAAGACTTGCTCAAATCTTATATAGAGAAAAAAAGAGTTTTCGTCCGCTGAATTGGCTCCTCGCATATCCGTGGCGATGTTGTGGGAGTGCCAGAGCGGGAGGCCTCGATGTCGGGATTGATTGGAGGTGCGCGCCCAAATTAGAAGGCGTCGGATTAGCGCCGGCATCGGGCACAGAGGAGGAGGAGGCAGCCAGCCCGGGTCGACACCCTCCTGATATTGTGGTGGAAGACACCGGGGGGGTCCCCGGAATGGCTGCCATCTTCTGAATAGGGTGACGACAAAGCGCCGCCCGGGATTAGGCGGCACGCTAATGTAGTCCGCCGTCGACGACAGGGTTCGGATTTGCAGTGGCGTACAGTAGGCCAATGTCCGGATAAAAATAGAAATTGGGCGAGATGTTCGATTTATCGAGAAAACGCGCACATCTAAATGGCCCTTCGATTAGAAGGAAGGGGAGAAAAAGCTAAATTTTTCGGAAGCTAAAAAGCTAGATTTTCATTACCCATAAAAATAAGTCTGGTTCTAGAGTTCTACACCTGACAATAGGTTCTAACGGATCGGAAACTGAGATACGGGCTGACTTTCGACCGTCAAATCGATACGGAAAGTGGCAGACAGGCAACATGAAAGGCGCTAATCAAACGTTCAAAGCAAGATGAACTGTCTCCGCCAAAAGAAAAGGAACTGGAAAATTCAGAGATGAACAGCGTGCTCAACGTTTATCCCGTTAAAATTTGAAGGATTCTTGTGGTTTTCTAGGTTCGGATTAATAACTAACGTTTAAAAAAAGCATTTTTGCTACGCGAGCTTTCCACAGAGCGGATTATGTTGATGCCAAGCGGCACACACATTTGTACTTTTGCTCGTGCGCATGGGCAGGCGATGGGGGTAGGGGGCAATGGGCAGGGTCGATCGAAAACATGGAAAGGCTTGGCCTCGATTGGCCGATCGATGCCGACCTAGATTTCGGCAACAAGCCGCAAGCTTGTACGCGAACGGGGAGGTTTGGGATCGAAGGGGATGACACATTTCCGGTATGTTGAGGCGGTCAGAAAAAAAGGTTGCCGATGGGTTGACTAATCGCCTTGGCACTCATTGGGCGGAAACAACAAGACTATTAAAAACGACGAGTGATACTGAAGCTAAATATGAAGGGGATGTCCCTTATACGAAAAAAATTGTAATTTAGAACTTATAATCGAAATTAAAGTGCCAGGAACGTCTAAAGTCTAAAAAATCGTGGAAACCGGGACAGTTCTGCAAAAACAACATTAGTAATTTGCAGGATGTATTCAGAAGCTAAATCAGACGACGTTATCAAAGCTATTTTTAGTTAATGCAGATCAGGACCATCAAAATAAAATTAAACTGGTGCTGATGCCATAAAAAAGCGCGAAATCTTGCGCTTGCAGACTTCGGGCAACCT